CGAGCCAAAGACGAAGATGTCAGTCACAATCAAAACCTGATAGCCTCTTTTCCAATCATGCGAGTGGATAGCAGGACTTTCCAGAAGGCTATAACCTTCCTGCACACTTCCACGTTGACGAACGAGACGAAAGGCATCCACCCCTTCAACCCCCAAAAGGCCAGCGCAGGTTCTTGCCGCACAGCTGTTGATCAATGGTGGAAAAAAAGTGGCTCTGTGATACCGAACTGGGGCAGCCCTTTGGCTATGGCACATAACAAAAGCTCCTTGGGATAACACCCTCAGCCCTTTCCGCAGCCATGGTTTGATTGCGGTGCAAGTGGTACAATGCTGACTTTGGGCACGCTCAATGGCCAATGTACCCTTCAGGCACCAGTCGTATCTGGCAGATACGCACCCTCAATGCATCGGTTCCAATATCTTGGCCCAAATCTGACATACGAGCACTCACACAAACACAAACAAACAAAAAAGCAGGTTCTGGACATGTACGTAGCAAATCATCTACCTGGAGTCTCCTTCTGACCTTTCAAACATGGGTTGCCATGGATGGAGGAGACCCCAGATATGCGACTTCCACGGCATCAGCCGTACCTGGGGCATGTAGCTTGGGGCACTAAGGTACACGGTCGGGGTGACAGCTGTGAACAAATAGCGAGACAATGAAACCAACACTTGGCAAAAGTGTTGGGCAAAGCCCTGTTTCTACACACAAATCCCCACTGGCCACGCGAAAACAAGTTTGACAACCGCATCCTTTTTTGGTTGGTTGAGTTTAAAGGGAAGCCCTTCCCACAACAAAGTTGACAAACAGGGCGGAGTCCACTGGGCAAATGGACTATGTTTCTACACGTTTTCTCTCTGAACAACCTTTTTGTCGGTTCCCTGTGGAAGGGTCCAGGGTGTGGTTTTCATGGGGCCCTAGTTTGCCAGTTGGGATGGATAAAACCCAATGAACACTGTGGATAAACCTACCAACTGCAGGATAATTCTTGTCCAGTAGCCCAAGGGTCAAAAACACATGGGGTGTTTCTCATCTTGAAATCCCCCAAACATGGACGGTTTCCTGCAGGTTTCCCTTTAAAACCGCCCAACGGGCACAAACCAAAACACAACTCGGGCTTCAGTTCCCTTGACTGCGGCCCGGTCCGGGCTTTCGCTGCTCAAGCCTAGGTTCGCAGAAAATCTCTCCAGGTACTTTGGGCTAGGTCCTCCAGTAGAGAGGTTAGAACAAGGGTACCCTTTTCTCTGTTGTCTATTTTGGTAAGGGAACCCTCCCCCAAAAAAAGGCAAAAGGGCCGTATTGGGGGACCTAGTGGGAGTCGGAAGACATGCCTACGCGACTTGGTAGCTATTGCACGCCCCAACATTCCACATCTGTTGCAAGTGAATGAGCAAACTTGGTTGCTGGAACAACCCCTCTGCAAAAAGTGGAATCAACCTTTTGTGGGTCCAATGGAGACGTTCCACGTTTGAAAGAAAAAGTTAAAGTCCAACGGCAGAACCAAAATAGCCATGAAATTAGGGTGGTCTTCCCAAAAGTATGAAGTTCGTGAACTCAGGAAGTGTGTAACATGTCCCCCAACTGTGATATTGAACAGTGAAAAGGAGGGAAACAAATCTGGATCTCCACTATCGCAAACCAGGTCTATCCAAAACCCAAGAACCATACGGGCCGCATTGGATTCTTCTCCCTGAAATACTGTGCATCTACTCGTGTGTTGTTGTGGCTCAATTGGACATACCCCAAAACAATCCGCGCACGGTGTATTGCTGAGCATCTGATGCGCTTTCTGTTCATGCCGCCTTGTCAGGTCCACAAGCAAGGGCCTAGGGGAGGGAGGCTTGCCAAAGTGACCCCCTGTCCTCACAATCAATGAGAGAAACAACAAATGGGTTGTTTTACTCTGCCGTCCCTGTTGAAACAACCCAACTTACGTAGGCATGCCCTTCTGGGTTAAAGAACAACAGAACTAGCTGAAAGTGTAAAACTCATTTTGCAAACACGCCAGATACAAATGCAAGTAATACTGGTGTCACTTACTCATTTTGCGACCCCTTTAATCGGTTGATTTAGAGTAAGTTTTCTAGATCACTTTAAATCACTAAAAACTATGCAAATTACTTTAAGCCACTCTGAAACCACTCTAAATCACGCTAAACGTTTCGAGCTGGCAAGGCGGCAACACGTTGAAAAACATGCTAGTTGCAGACTAGGTTCTCCAGTGGAGAGGTTAGACTAAGTTGAAAGGGCACTACTGGGGGACCTAAGAGAGATTGGTAAAATCAAAGCATGCTGCGACCACGCGGCATTTTGGTCAAGTCAACATGGCGCAATGTGAAGCAAAACGCTCCATTCAGGTGGGCCATCATCATTCCCTGCCCCCCTTCCCTCCCCCCTCCCTCCTTCTCCAAACAAAAAGTGCCTTAGAGTGATTTGGAGTGGTTCAGAGTGAGCGGGGCTCATGCCAAAACCACATAAGGGCGCACGTTTTTTGATGTGACCTCTCTGATTTCACAAATTTCTGGATCCCACGCCCAGAAACGGATCTAGGGTGTGCCTTCTAGGTCCTCCAGATTTGAGAGGCTAGAATAAGGGTACCCGAATTTTGTTTTCCGTAGTCTCTTTTAGTAGGGGAACCCTCCCAACCAAAAAAGTTGGTAAAAGGGCACTACTGGCGGACCTAGCCTTTGTCGCTGGCTCCCCACTCAGATTTCCGGCGTTTGGGCTCGAGGCTGGGCAGATATGACCGTATGACCCGTTGGGTGTGACCCGTCTCAGCTTAGTGAGGCCACTCTAAAGCTACACGAGTGAGGGACCCGGTCCCATCCCACTCGCGGATCGCCGCATCCCTCTGATCTTCTGGGCGCGGAGTTCGCAAGAAGAACTTCAGTGAGGCTTCCTCTTGAAGTGTCGAAAGGCTTAGCCATCCAAGGATTATGGGGTTCATCGATATTCCTGGCCCCCAACTTCTCCCATGTGGGAAGCATCAAACATGCTGAAAATTAGTGGGTCTCCAACCAATGGTCGTCCCATGTTCATCGGACCTTTTGATCAAATTCCACATGTTTCTACCCCTTGACTTTGAACAGCCTCCTTTCTGTTCCTTTTGAAGGGTGCAGGGTTTGGATTTTCATGCGCCCTACTGTGCAGGGACAAGATCCTGTATGAGTTGGGAAGCATGAAATCCTATGGGATTCACCTACCAACTGGTGCAGCATATTGTCCATCAGTAGCCCAATGCTTCCAAAACCCATGCGGTGCTTCTCATGTGGAGATCCCCTGAAACTGGACGGCTTCCGGCAGGTTTGCCTTTAAAAACCCGCCCAACGAAACCGCAACCTCCAAACCAAACCTCCTACCTCGCAAAAGCGGCCACTCTTTCAGCCTGAGGCCCTGACCTCCGGTCTGAGGGCAGCTTCGGCTGCGGCCTTCCGTCAACCCCTCCCTCCCGCCAAAAAAGACACCCAGAGTGCCGTGTCCTTGTACGAAACAAACTGGACTAGCCGTGAAACAAGTTGCCTTCAAGGCAAACCGCGAATCAAGGCACGTGAGATGCAAATAAGTCGCTCCTCCCCCGAAAAGGTCTAAGGCCTGAAGCTTCTGCAGGTTTAATAGACAAGCCAGGTGTCTCCCACAGCTCTCAGGGGCGGTTGAGGTCATACCAAAGAACAGCCATAAAACGGGGGAGCAATAAGCAAGCACAAGCCTGAAGCGCCGCAGGTTTGCTTTGGGGTCTATCTGCAAGCTGTTTGGGCTCCATCTTAATTCGGGGAGAAAGCAGTCAGTTGTTCTTTTCCCACAGACTAGCATGAAACCCACCAGAGGGTCCCTTTGAAAGAAAGATGTTCAGAAACTCCCGATCAGGCTCCATGTTAGTGGAATTTATGGATACACATGTGATTCTGAATACTGTGTATAAACCAAAACGGGATCTCTTGAATGTGTCCTTGTGCATCCCTTCAATAATTGTCCAAAGCACGGGCGCTTGCTGTTTTGGGCACAACCAATATAGGTGCTTGTTCACAAGAGACATGACCAATCCCCCGAAAGCCAACAAGGGTGAAAGCGTTTGCAGGTAGGAGCAAGCTGCGGCGCACGTTTTGCTGTACTAAGGCTGGACATCCTTTGGATGTCTGTCTCTCACCGGCTGTCCGGTAATTCTGGAGCCAATTCAGTGGGAATTTGTCAAACACAGCCCGAGTTGTACTCTCTCTGGAGCTGAACTGGGAGCCTTACATTAGACACCTGAACATTGCCTTGTCAATGGTGGTTTCCCCTTATTTTGGTGGAAAAAGCCATGGTTCAAATGGGCAAAATGTATCTTTTAAGGGGCCCTGCTAAAGTTTGATGGTAGCCTTTGTCGGCTTGCTTGACAGGAACACCAAGAACACTTCCCCATTGGGCTGAGGCCCCATTGACTTTGGGCTATACCATTAAGGTTCTCAAGGTGTGTTTTTCTAGGTCCTCCAGTAGAGAGGTTAGCATAAGTTGGTACCCTTTTTTTTGCTGGAGTCTCATTTAGTTGGGGAACCCTCCCCAAAAAAGCTGGTAAAAGGACACTACTGGGGGACCTAGTTGATCAAAACCAAGTTGTTCGTCAAGGGATCCTTCATTGTCTTGGAACGGCCCATTTCGATCCAATGCCTTCGGTGACCATGTGTTCGGTGACCATTTTTGGTGGGCTTCGCTCCCCAGATCTAAGAACCAGAGAACCGCAAAGACTGCCAACCGCTTTGACCCTGCAGAATAGGCAGTAGAACCAGCTAAAAAACAGCAGTTGGTGCTGAGGTCCAGCCACGTCCAAACCCAATGCGGGCCTTGACCCTCTCTCCTTTGAGAATCTTAAGGGAATTGTCGAGGGGCCTCACTTCCCATAGAGCGGATGCCCCAAAATCAAACTACCTTTTTGCCTACCACCAAAATTGTCTTCCCAAAAAGTATAGAGTCCATCAACTCAGGAAGTGAGCCTCATTCGGAGACCAACCCCCCAACCAAACTGCTGCTTCTCCCAAGACTTGGCTCCCTAAACCTACCTTGAATCATTAACGCTCGCCAGTTCCCAGCCGATCTGGAGCAAGGCGAGGCCCAAAAATGCATCCGACGCGATCGAAATTTCAAATTATCACGCTACCAGGGAGATCTTCTCGTTTCGGAGCACCTCCGCGCAGCGCAGTTTGCATGTAATACTGTTGAGCCCGTTGTTGGGGGGGGGTCACCCCCACATGTGCATAAATACTTGGTTGACGTTGGAAGGGGAGCAAACATTTAAATTTTAGCAGTTAATGGTTGGATTTCCCACTAAACCACAAAAAGCAAAAATGAAAAATGTTTCCCAACAACAACCATGAATAGGGGTTCATCAATCCGGGGTCAACATTGCCCAAGGGGACGCACGAAGGTGCTATTGATTGCACCCAGAGCTTCGAATCGGTAGTCTCGAAAACCGAAAGCGGTTAGCGTCGACAAAAAGCGGGGACTCGCCCAATGAGGTATATGATTTTGCCAAAAATAAGCAAGGGCACTGGAGGTTGTCGGCACGACATGCTCCAAACTCCCGTCAGGGTCAACATTACGAAGGCTCCCCCAAGAGCTATGGGAGCAAGAGTGAGTCCTCGTAAAAAACTGTAGATTTGTTGATGAGTCCTCGCATGTCGCTCACAACTGGATTGTAGACTACCAGCAATCTTAATCAAAACCTCTCTTGGTTTACGTTGGAAGAGAGCAAAAAATAAATAAATAGCAGTTAAGTGGGGATTTCCCACTAAACTGCAATAAGCAAAAATGTGACATGTTTCCGAACAGCATGTTCAGGTCATATCTCAAGTGAACGAATCAACACAATATCTGCTGTCCTCAGATCCCTTGCGAAAAAGTGTTCAACTTTTGGTGGGTGAAAATGGTTAAATATGAGTTCATGGAACTCCCCGCTAGGCCGCAATCGTCTCAAAATCTAAGGGCACGGCTGGGAACCGCCAAGATATCTCACTTCCGGAGTGGATTTGGCCAAAACCCGCCTGAACTTGTTGCACCTTCCCCAAAAGTATTCTATATGAAGTCCAGGCACTTGTGCACTGAGATTTCGGGGGCGGAAATCCTTCAAAGCCTTTCAAGGCAGCAAAATCGCCCGTGGCAAGGCGAAGGCCTTCCCTGTCAACGTCAGCACCTTTTGCGGCTGAGATAATGACACGCTACTACCTGATCGTAAACCCCGAAAAGATAATTCGAACACGAATGTGCGGGTTTACCTTGGGCAACCAAAACCTCGAAAAAAGCGGGTCAGAACCAAACAACCAGTTGTTTAGTGTTTTTTTTTCCCGGAAAAGCCTGGTTCTGACAGGAAAAAACATTTTGTTTCTCGAATTTGGTCCCGTAAAACACCCATAACCAACGCGTAAAAACACTGTATGTTTCCGTACAAACACCTAAAACACCCGTAAGCAAAACGACAATCGGTCAAAACCAAGTTTTTCTGTACAAAACCGTGTTTTTTTCGGGACTCCTTTTTTCTGGTGTTTGGTAGCTCTTGGTATTCCTGAGCCCGGGTATTTCCCCAATGTTAATCATTTTAGTGGTTTAACGCAATGGTCATCCCATGTGAAGGACCTTTTGATCAACCCCCATGTGAAACTGATTTTTCTTTCAAGATTTGCACTTTCGGCTCCCTGGCGGGAAACTCAAATGTCTTATTCAGCACCCAGCTGAAACAAAAACACTCAGTTGAAACACACAACACTACGCCCACATCCCACACCAAATCTTTTCAGCAGGGGTTAAGTAAAACCAGTTGTGCTTCACACGGAAGACCTGGTTCTTTATAAACAACCCTTACAAAAACAAGGAGGAACTTGGAGTAGGGGTAGCCAAGTAGCCTGAACAATGGCCTCCCATGCAATTACTGCTGTTCTCTGTCAAATTGGTCACCAAGTCGATTTCTCACGGTAAAGTCTCAAGCCTGGCGGTAGAGCACTTTCAGTCGCTCGATGTCCTCGCACCACATGCTGAGCACATGTGCCACAAACGGCGTGCAACACATGCATGTGTATATACGTATATACACACCTGCATACATACAACAAATGCAATGTGCACATGCATGTGAGCCCATGCAAGCGTGTGCGCGACAAAGAGTCCCAACATGTCCCAACGTGTTTTGCCAAACACCACGAAGCTTGGTTGATGTTGGAAGGGGAGCAGAACATAAATAGATCGCAGCTCAGTGGGGATTTCAACCAAACCACCATACGCAAAAATGCAACGTGTCTCCCAACAACCATGGAAGTGCAGATTCGCCGAGCGAGCCTTTGAAAGGACCTTAAACACAGCTCAACCTCCAGAGGTAACGACGTTCTTGGCCGTCCTCTCCCTGGCGGATGCCGGCCTAGGCCAACACGATGCGCGCTGCGCCGTCGAAACTCGGCTGCTTTCTGCCCTACTAAAAGCTTTCAACTTTTAGTGGTTTAATACGGAGAACCCATTAGTAACATGTACCAAGCCATGGTCATGGCGTCAGGAACTCGTCTCACTTGTGTCTAAAGCGGTCCTTTTTTGACCTCCACCAAGGCTCCTGTGGATGGTTGCGAAATCCATTTCGAACCTCAGAGACCTTGGAAGGATTCGATTTCCCGGTAAATACCAAAACACTGGTTTCCAAGTGGTGCGAAATGGTTTTAGTCCATCCACGGTCTGAAAGGCCCCCAATTGAAAGGTTCTGAAGGAATTCCTTTTGATCGACGGACATTGTGATGGAACTCGCGTCGAACCGACGGGCTCTTCGGCCATGGATTCCACCTTCGGCCACACGCACGTGGAAAAAACCAGGGTCCAGCCATCCCCAGCCAGGGAAACCGTAGAGAAATTCGTTCTTTTCATGCGGGCTGTGGGGGGGGAGGTGGTGTCAAATAGCAGATGCTTAAGCACCACACAAGCAACCTTCCAAATAAGCTGTGACTAGTGTTGCAAAAAGGTAATGTTTGTCCTTATAAGTCTTTGTTCCAACGGGTGCGCCTTCTTCATGGCGCCGTCCAATGGGCCGGGGGACTTCAGGGGCAAAGTGCAAAAGCCTAGACGGACTTCCCGGCATTTGCTTCTCCGTCCCCTGGAAAGAAAAAGGAAAAACATATTTCCAGCGATAGATTCCCTTCAAAGCCAGGGGGAAGTAAACAAAGACTAAGCAAATGGAAGGGTCTCAAACAAAACGTTGACGTTACCTACTAAATTGGAGTCATCCAATCTTGAGGTCGCCTGGGAAGATGAAGCTGCAAAACCAAACATGACAAAGCCATTCGGTCGGTTCGCGCATGTAAATGGCCCCCCCTTTCCAAGGAAGATTCCTAAAGACAAAGGATCTTGAAAAGCAACCAATCGGTTCGCGCATGACAAAAAGCCTCCCCCATCCCCGTGTCCACTATTCTGAGAAACAAAGGCAACAGGGATCCTTACAGTACACACCTGAACATTGCCTTGTAAATGGCGGTTTCCCCTTATTTTGGTGTTGAAAAAAGCAACATGTTTCAAATGGTTGCAACATGTATTCTTTTAAGGAGCCCTGGGCAAGGGGCAAACTCCGCCCGCCCCGCCCGCAAGCTCCGCTCGACTCCAAGCGGCTTGGCAGAGTCGCGACATCTCACGGCGGAAGCCGAGTACCACCCACGTGCCCTCCTTGATCTGGAAGAGTCCTGTGCTCAACTAGGTCCTCCAGTGGAGAGGTTAGAAGAAGTTGGTACCCGATGTTTTTTCTTTTTTGTCTCTTTGAGTAGGGGAACCCTCCCAACCAAAAAAGTTGGTAAAAGGGCACTACTGGGGGACCTTGTCAAAATACCCTTCTCTCCCCTGTGGGTGACTCGGTGCTGGGAATGGCGAGCTTTCAAGGTTCTCGAAAGGAACTTCTTTTTGTTGGGCGAAACATTCTCACGTCATGAGTGGATTGACCAGAAATAGTCCCACTAAAATGGTCTAAACCAAACAAAAAGAAGAAAGTCCAGGAACTCCGGAAGTGAGTTCCCTAAGATGGGTGTGGCGGTTGTTTGGAGGGTATCCTTGGAGGGTTTTCAAGAGACCCCAAAGGAAGCCAATTTTGGGGCTAAATTCCCATAAGGGAAAGACTATAAACTCCAATGTTGTAGGGCAACTTAGGGCTACTTGAACAACCTCACAATCAACACCGGGTTGAGTGTTTGGCCAAGTTGGCGAGCGGTGAGCCACCTGGGTGAGAAAACCCGCGAACAACAAGGCTAACGAACAATTTACCTGCAAACACTCAGCCCAAGAAATGTATCAAAAGCAGGTCCCAATCTGAAAAACGCCGCCTCCAGGACGTCCCACCCTCTAAGTGTACGTATGGCGAAGGCCCCACACGGGCTGCTTTTGGCATTCCATTTGGTTAAGGCCCCAGGAAAAACATATTTCCAGTAGTGATGAATTCCTTTTAACACCAACAAGGGGAAATAAAACATGTTCTTAAACAGATGGAGGCATTTCACTACCCCCAAACCACAAGATGCAGGCGATGGATACTTCTCCCATGAAATCCCAAGGTTGAGGCAGCTCCTGGTTGAGTGTGTCAACCACCCTTGTGGTATAGACCATGCTATAACCCACTAAGATATGTCAGCAAGCCCCAACTCAACTGGCCTGCTAAAAGTTTGACTTTTGGTGGGTGAAATTTACCACTAAACCAACTTCCAAACCCTAAGTTGCACCGGATGGCTGGTTCCGAACACTACTCACATGGCTGTGGGTCAAAACGCTGTACCCCTAGTGAACATCAAAATAGCTGGCAAATGGATGCTCGTCCGCCCCAAAATGGGATCGCCATAGGTTCTGCCCTACTCACATCTTGGTTGACGTTGGAAGGGGAGCAAACATTTAGAATTTAGCCGTGAAGTGGGGTTTTCAACCACTAAACCACAATAAGCCAACATGCAAAATGTTGCCCAACAACAACCATGACATGCCCCCTCCACGTGAATTGTTGGCGCCGCAAAAAAACGCGTCGCGCGCGGGTGTCGCATGCGGCGGCGCCTTCTTCCAGCTTCGCGTTCTCGGCCTTGGCCTGGCGCACCAGCTTCTCCTCCTCCAGCGCCAGATGCGCCACCGCCTCAAAAGGCGAAAGCTCAGGCGTAGGCCGTGGCGACCCCGGAAGGTCACGTGAAAAACACCCTGGAAACTGATGCAGATCTGCAGAAAACTGGAGCTTCAATTCGAATAGTTGTTGAACGCTATGTTCCAACAAGGGTTTTGGAAAAACAATTCTCTGTAACGACCCCTCTGCAAGAAGTGACGTCAACTTTTGGTGGGTTCAATTCGGAGAATCCGAGCTGTTTCAACCAAAAGGTTGAAGTCCAAAGATCCAGTACCAAATGGCCATCAGGAGACATGGTCAAGGCGGACACTGGCGGTTTCCCCTGGGTTTAGCTTTAAACACAAGACAACAAGAAAAAGCTTTGCCCTGCAAAACAGACATTCGTCCTGGCACATGACCATCATGTCCCAGGTTGAAATTACAAGCTGATTAGGTCTGCGCCATTGATAGCCATTGGCCGGGCATGTGGGCCACGGTGGAACTCAGAATTCCCCCCACCCCCCCCCCCCCGCCCCCTGAAGACACCCCTGGACATCATTTGGCTGGGAACTTGTGAAGGCGTGTTTTTTTCCGAGACTCCCATTGAAATCCACAGCCTGCGTAGAACAATAAGTCTATAGAACGGGAATGCAACGGACGGAACCGTTCGATTGAAGGTTGGGTCATTTGCCAATTACGAAAGAAGCAACCCTGCATATGGCATATGGGCTGCAAGCTGCTCCAGGCCAAGCTTAGAAACATGCATTTGATTTAGGGTGTGGTACATGCATTATCTCTGTGCCTCTATGCATTCATAGAGAGTACACATTCCGCTCATACCTTCACAGACCCCATAGCTGGGAAATTCATTCATCATGACATGCGTGCCATCTCGCCAAAGTCCTGGCCCAAATGAACATGGGACCCAAACCAGTGTGTGTGTGTGTGTCTTGGTTGACGATGGAAGGGGAGCAAACATTAAAGTTTTAGCAGTTAAGTGGGGATTTCAGCCACTAAACCACAATAAGCACAAATGTAAATTGTTTCCCAACAACAACCATGGAGTGTGCATTGTTCATGGAACGGTCTCTAAGGTTGGGTTCCTCCTAGTTTCCTACGCCGATTTTGTGAGGCTCCGGCTTGACTTGCAGTGAAACAGTTGGCAGGACGAACGGGGCCACAGAACGACCGCACCATTCCAGCACACTGTTAGGGCCACAGTTCAAACGTCTTCCTAACGCTTTGAGCCCAAGGAAGTCTGTCAACTCGAACTCCCTCAATGAAACTAGGTCCTCCAGAAGAGAGATTAGAATAAGGGTGCCCACTTTTTTCTGTAGTCGATGTTAGTAGGGGAGCCCTCCCCAAAAAAAGTTGGTAAAAGGGCACCTAGCTGGGGGACCTAGAAAAGCTTGAATTCTAGGGTTTCTGAGGTTCGCAGCCACTTCAAACCCAACATTTTCTGTGAGAAAAGTCATCAAACTCAGACACACCCAACAAGTTGGACACCGGGATCTGCATGAGCAAGCAGCTTTTTCCCGGAGGCTTTTGGTCACTCCTGGAAGCTTTCGGACAGCAAGGGGGGTCACTCTCAAACATGTCTTGCTGTAGATTCGAACACCCGGAAAACTTGCTGGTTTTCACAGGCAGGGAATGAGGGAAGGGGATTCCCGAATAAAGAAAACCACCAGTTGGATAGTTCATAAGGGTCATGCCATTTCTCATTCCCTACCTATCGCACCAGCCAGAAAACACACAACAACACCCCAAAACTGCGGAAAGTCCCTCTTTCCAACACCTCCAATGACTGCGTTGGTTACCATGTCCAAACCCCATCAAAGAACGCGGAACCTTAAAATGTGTGAATTCAAAAATTGATCTGCTTTGGAAGCGAAACGGGGGGGACCGAACCTCGAACAAATGTCCTTTTTGTTCACTTTGGAACCAATTGGAAGAATACAGATTCCAGGCTGGTTCTGGTCATTTGCAGCGCCCATCATTTTTCTCCGCCCAGGCTCGGCAACTGTTACGAAAAATGCCACAACTCGCTTCCTGAGTGGATTGGCCAGAAAAAGTTGAACAACTCTTTCTTTACCACTAACATGCTCCAACCCCAAAACGTGACGATGAGGTCCAAGTCACAAAGTGAGAAAACCTGAAAAAGGGGTTGACTCCCCACCTAGGTCCTCCAGTAGAGAGGGCAGAATAAGGGCACCAACTTTTTCTGTAGTCTATTTTAGTAGGGGAACCCTCCCCCACAACAGGGCAAAAGGGCACTACTGGGGGACCTAGCCACTCAAAGGGGGTCCTTCATTCGGTCCCACCCGGTACCTCGTAGGCTGAACGCTGATACGCCAGCAGCCTCGCCACGCGCCTCAATCGCAGTCGATTCATATGTCTGGGGCCTAGGGACTATGGAGATTATTGAGGGCCTCAGTATTGGTGCGATAGGTGGGGAATGAGGGAATGAACCGGTGTTGTATTCCAGAAGTAAAGGAAACCACAAGGGATAGTTTATGAGAACATTCCCTCATTCCCTGCTGAGCACCAGCAAGTATATCAAACCATCTGATGGTCAAGGGAGAATCCTGCTTGTGACCATTCTGGGATATTTCACCAACCTGAAATATGGTGGTTGGGGAGTATTCCCCACATAAACCACCATTTGGGGTTGTAATTCACCCAGACCATTTAGTCGTTTAGCCACGTAGCATACACCTTGTGCCCACCTGTTCAACAATGTTACTCTCCAAAAACAAAAAACAACAGCCATATGGGCAAATCTTGGTTGCTTTCTGCTCCCCTGCCAAAAGTTTTCAACTTTTAGTGGTTTGATGGAAAACCCATTAGTTGGCAAAAAGTTAAAGCCCTAAAATCCAAGCAGCATGCACCAAAGAAATTGCTATAATTATTCACTAAGGTGTAATAACAAGACCCGGTTGAGGTTCCTTCGCACGACCCGGCCAGTTCCGTGTAGATCAAGAAAATGGGAGGATTAAGGGAATGGCGCCATCTGCTTTCCAAACGTAATTGAGTCTGGGACGAAGTTTGACATCTCGCCAAAGACCATTATTTTTAAGAACAGAACCGATCGGAGTGTCCATAGTTGCTCATGAAACAGGTGCTTGCTACATTGTTCTAGGGTCAATCCCCTTTCCATCGGGATCTGTCAAAAGCCGCATGTCCCCAGGGGGCCATTTTCCCAAGAAAAGAAGCTTGTGAGCTGTCGATCCCCCAGCAAAAAGGTCTAGCTTGCTGTAGCTTAAAAGGAAATATGATGGGATCCAACAAGTCAAAGTATAAAGATCCAACCCAATAGCAGCAAAGGAAGGATCCCTGAACAGATTGCTTTTTGTTCTCCCTGGAACTCTCCGTTTTCTGAGCGCCTGACACGTGGGAGCTGATAAAGTCCTGGAGACAGAGAGTGAAACACAACAAACCCCCGACCCTTTGTTCGGTTGAACCCCTCAATTTGTTGCCCTGCTGGATGAACGATGACGCCTTCATAACAGATTCTTCAACGAGACACAGAAAAACACCGAGCCTTTCTGAAAGCTTGAACCCCTCAATTCCTTCCCCTGGACGAACTCCTGCAAGGTGCTTCAAGTGGGATCGTCACAAGCTGCCTAAGGGGGCAAATATCAGAACCCTCTTGGGGGAAACAATCCCTCAACCACTCCGTTTTCCGAATGTTGCTCGGAAACAAGCGATAGTCCTTCAAGAAAAACACCAAGGACAAGAATTACTGACCAAAATCCGTGGCAAGGTGAAAGCCCAAGCCGCTCGCTCTTGGGTCGAGCCCATGCAGGGGCCCGGACCTCTTTTTCATGAAGGACTCCCGATAACGACCCATGCGACCCCGCAGAACTCCCCCGGCAAAAAAAAACACCTTCACATTGAACCAGCATCACCAGAAGACATCAAGTATTTCAAGGAAGAGTGAAAACTTGGCGAAAATCATGTGATTTTCCTGTTGCTGGCCTTTGAACCAAGATGAGAAGGGTCCGCTCCTTAAACAAAGCCACTGAGATACTCGCCTGGTGCCTGGATTCTCCCCATCCACATTACAAGCCGCAAAAGTTGCAAGGACATGTCTAGCATTCTAACCCAGGATGAACCCTGGTTGAAAAATAAGGATGCCCTATTTATATGAAAAAAGATCCAGTGGGTATGGGTCACGTTCAACCAGGAAATGGACCACCAGGTTGTCCTTGGCTCCAGTTAGGGCAAGCCATTTTCGGGTTATTTTGGCCCCACCGCCAAGGATCGCGAATCCACGGAAGCAAACCAAATTAGACCATGGACCCCGGAGAAAAAGGATGCCCAATTCTACATATGAAAATGCCATCCCCAAGCATTAGGTCCTCCAGATTTGAGAGGCTAGAATAAGTTGGTACCCTTTTTTCAGTCTCTTTTAGTGGTGGAACCCTAAACAAAGTTGGTGAGAAACACATGAACAAACATCAGCCCCAAGTGGGTATGGGTCAAAACGTTCAACCAAGAAAAAAATGGACCGCACATTTATTTTATTTGTTAACTCCATTTGCCATTTTGGGGTTAATAACCCTATTTGGGCCCAGTAAATCAACATGATCTTATGTGGCCTTTTGGATTCGCTGTTTGGATCTCCGCGTTTTGCCGCAACAGGCTCAAATCAGGCCACACAAGTTTCAACGTGACTCCGAACTGTCCAACATGATAATAGACAACTAATGAACAAATGTGAAGGCCTCCCGAGTTTAGAGTTTGAGGACACTAGACAACTATTCCCACTGGTCGCGGCTCTGGTTCCACTGCCTCCCCGACGCCCCGAGACCCCGAAACCGGCTGCGCCTTGGCGTGGTCCAGGCAGCCCAGGCGCTGCCAGTACTCCGCGGAGCGCTTGGCGTGGCGCTGAGCGCTGGTGAGCCGCGCCTTCCTGGGACCCAGCAGACGCCGGGTCGAGACGCCCGTCGCCGAAGGCCCGAGGCTCCGGGTCGCCACGGCGAAAAAAAAACAGGAAAAAACGGAGGAAAACGGACAGAGACCAACGGCAATGGCTCAAACGCGGGGAGAAAAACAAAAAGAAAGAAATAGATGGGTGCGTCGTTAAAGGTTGAGGGTTTAGGGTAGAAGGTTCAGATGAAACTCAGAGAACACTGGGACAAACCACCTATCTACACTGGGCTGCCCTCAGATCCCCCGCAAAAAGTTTAACTTTTATAGTGGGTTAAATGGAAACCACCACTAAACACTAAAAGGCTAAAAGGCTAAGGAACCGGATGGCTGGGAGCCACCTATCTACAGTATGGCGATTTCGGATACTGGTTTGTTGGAGCTATGTTGGTCAGCGGGCCGCTCCAAGCCAAATTCTCTGACCTCACAAGGGGACAATGATCATTGTTCTAGGGGTTGATTCCCCATTCTGTTCAACCATCGTTCCTTCAAAAAACGGATCCGTTTCTGCTGGGTGTTTTTTAAGGTTTGCTGAAAAGATTCGGATCCCTGGATTCAGAATGGGGAAGCTACCCTTAGAATTGTGGTACTGGTATCCTCGGTGTGTTGCCCTAAGCTACCCTCCATCCTCCGCTCGAAATTCCCCCGCTTTTAAAGGAACCATGTCTAGGTCCTCCAGTCAAGAGGCCAGAATAAGTTGGTACCCTTTTTTTCTGTAGTCTATTTTTGGTAGGGGCAAGGGGAATTCTTTTGTGGGGAACGCTTCTTTCTTTCCCAATGGACTCTGCGGATCAACACGGAAGTCCCAACATGGGGGTCCCAGAGAGAAAATTATTCTAAGCATGAACATGGTGCGATACCAAAGTGGGCCATCCCTACTGTAGATGGAAGTCATTCCTGCACCAAAATGGAAACCCATGGTTGAAACCGTTGTTTGTTGATTATTTTCAAGGGTGCCTTAGGCGCTGCGAATGGGATTTTGCCCATGCACAGTACTATACTATCATAAAGTCAAAGGTCGCTTTGAGATTGGTATAAACTTTGATTAGGGACCCTTTGGCAGACATCAGCTCGCTAAAGATTTATGTCCACCCACCACGAACATCCTTGCAGCCCATCCCATCCCATCCGATCTGGATGTCGAAGAGGCGAGAGGGGCGGCGCACCAGGCATGCATTGCTCCTGCAGCACGAGGTCTGCCTCGAGAGGGAAATGGCTTGCGACAGCCCAGCGGGTCCCAGTTCTGGCTGCCATAAGCACGTGGATGCTCCTAGAAGGCGTCTGTTGGAACTGCCATCATGTTGACCGCAGATTAATAAACCCTTGTTTTCTCATATGGGGGTGCCCTCGGTTTTAGTGGGGATTCATCAAATTGGAGAAAAAAAAAAGAAAAACGTATATTAATCCGGGGTCAACATTGGTGGGTACGCGGATGCTCCCAGAAGGCCTGTGTTGGAACTTCATGTCTTCCAAAGGGGTCCCTTTTGGAGCTTTCCACGGAATGGTCTGGGGGAGGGTAAACCAGCTATCTCTCATTTGCGTTCTAAAGGGTTCCCTTGGTTGCCTGCTACACAGAATTCACGGAATCAGATGGAAGAGTTGTTTGATTCTCCACCTGAAAATTACCCCTCACAATGGTGCTTTTCTGGTCTGGAGGTATAAGGGCCCAAATGTTTTCAGATTCTTCGGAGCCCCAACTTGCATGTCGCGTCCCACGCCACCTGAGAGGTTAAAACCCTCATTGTCCCTCAGTGCACTTACCTCACATGGCCATTTAGAGTAGAGCCATTCGACACATTTTAGCATAGGGCTCCATAGAAATCATCCCATGAGTGGGTTCCAGCCTGAGTCACTAGATGAGGATAAATTTGGCAAAAGCATCATTCTTAGCCAGACAAAAACAACCAAGTGCTGGCTGAAAGGTAAAATGAAGGAACTGCAAACCAGCAAAAGGGCAAACATATTTGGATAAGTGTGGCAATGGCTCCAAACGTGTATGAATGTAGCCAGCACCAGCCGCCTCTTTGCATACGACTGGAGTCTACCTCGCTTTGCCCGACAACAGCGCCCAAGCTCAAAGTCAATCACGCACAGACAAACTAGACTGCTCAAGGGCAAACGGAGCATTGGCTACGAAAAGGGAGAGGCATGTCATTGTCTGCTAAGTGAGAGGCAAACACCGACAAACTGGCATGTATTGAGTGCCCTCTTCTCCTGACACATCAGAATTGTCAGTGTTCTTTCTCACACTTCCATCCCGGCACACTTTGCGGACGCATGTGTGCCGCATGGTCACATGGATTAGACAACTAGTAAGTCCTCTGGTTTTTGGAATTTAGCGAGTCCCCCATGTTCCTCTCAGATGGACCAAACACCGAATAGTTTGACCATCCCGCAACAATAACAAAACATGGTATGACCATGCCCCACAAACCCAACTAAGACGAGGAGGGGTTGTAACCACGACAACGAAAAATGTTTGCCAACCATCCTCCTCCCTCCACCTCCATCCTCCTCCATTTTCACTCCACCCTCCTCCATTTTCCCTCCACCTCCATCCTCCTCCATTTTCCCTCCATCCTCCTCTATTTTCTCTCCATCCTTCTCCATTTTTCCTCCATGTCTCCTCCATCCTCCTCCATGTTTCTCCATGTTCCTCCATTTGCTTGTTGTGATTGTTCGTTTTCAAAGCGCTGTTTTATTTCGTTGTTGTTGTTTTTGTGTCTGTCGATGTTTGAAATCTCCCTTCAAGTAAGACAGAAAACAAACCGCAAATACAGAAGAACACCCATGGACGGGCGGCGTTCGCAACATGAACTAGAAACAACAAGAAAAAAGCCCTTCAAAGGGGCTGGATCAAAGGGGCTCGGCATCCGGCCAGGTTAGGAAGTGGCTCAGATCACAGGCTTGGCTCCACTAACACCCGAGCGGAGGTCCGGGAGAGTGTCTAGAGGGGGCTGTGTCAAAATCCACACAATGGTGGATTGCGCAACGCAAACAGGGCCCTCAAAAACGCAGAAGGGGTCTGCATCCCTATTTCCATAGGGACTGCGTCTCGGAACCACCAACAAAATCAGATTAAAGCCAGCCGGGCTTTTGCACTAAAACTTCTGGGGACCCGCTCTCCGGGACATGAACATGAACCACAGTCCAGGCAACTGGTTGAAAACTCACCCTAATCTGTTGATCGGCTCTTGCCGCACAGTTGCTCTGACTATGTGTCATACCTCACTTCCCGAGTGGATCGGCCAGAAAAAGCTCTGAACTTCTGTTTTGCCACCAAATGGTCTTCCCAACAAATCCAAAGTCCAGGAACTCAAGACGTGAGATGTTCAGGCTACCACAGAATATAGGTTAATCAGTACTGGGGTTTCCCCTGGTTTTTGATGGTTTCCTGACAAGATTCGGATCCCTGGATTGAGAATGGAAATGGAAGCTACCCCAAGAAATATACCAAGGAAGTGAGATGTTCAGGCTGCTACCCGTATATCACAAAGCTATATACAAACCCTTCAGGACTGATCGATCCAGGTGCAGATACCCATAATACAAAGTTATGCAGGAGGCCCCGGCGACTTTTCAGAACCCATCGATCAGCTCGAGGCGCCATGTGGAAGTGGCAAACTGCCACCTCTCGCTCGTCCTTGAGCTCATCGAAGAGCCGCAAGGCCTTCCCTCAAATCGCGTTGCGGTTAGGTGGGCGTCCTTTGGTTGGAGGGGGGTTCCCTCGGGTTAGGTTAAAGTCCTTTTGCTGAAGGGGGGTTGTCTTTACACCAAACAAAACAAACGTGAAAGGATCATTTACTGCCTTTACAAGTCAAAAATGTACCAACATTGACGTCGGATATCAATTGCCTGCCAAAAAAAGACATGTCCCCCACTTGGTCCCTCGGCCGCTGGAGTTTCGGGATTTCAGTTTTGGAGCCCTGGAATGATGGGTGTCTGCTTGTTTTCCCTCCAGGATCAGAACGGAAGTCCCTCAAAAGGACAGAATGACACAATGGCTCGGAAAGAATGTGGTTGTTACATCTAGACCGAGGCAAGCACATCCACAAAGTCTTGACAATTTGATATCCGATATCACCGGATGCTCCTTGCCTCATCTCAGATGCCCAGTGGCCATGGGAACAAATCCTTTGTTGGTTGGTTGAGTTTAAAGGGGAACCCTTCCAAACAAAAGAAAAGAGGGCGCCACTTGGCAACTGGGTCATAGTTGCAACGTCAGTGAATCAACTGGGTCATAGTTGCAACGTCAGTGAATCAACTGGAACTGGTTTGGGTTCACATGGTCTTTATATACACCCCATGAATACAGGGAAGGAGCCAAACCATCCAAAGGCTTGCTCCAACAGGTTATGAGAAATCACTCTGAAGCCGCTTGCCAACGATCCATGCTCTGACTTTTTCGCTTGGGTTTTGGCGCTCAGGAAATCCATCTTTATAGGGGTTGATTCCCCATTCTTTTCCACCATTGTTCTTTTCAAAAACCGGATCCGTTTCCCTGGTGTTTTTTTGGTTTCCTGACAAGATTCGGATCCCTGGATTCAGAATGGGGAGGTTTCAACTAGAATCTTCATCTACCTGCGACCCTCAAAATCGGCAAGCTCTAGCAGCTCTCAAGCTGCGACTCGGAGCTAAGTTCTACGACTCGACCTGAAACTCTTGCAACTCCTAGAAGTAAAGGAGCCATAACGACCCATATGGGTCTGTCTTCTGTCGAGGGTGCCCCCTTTTGTGGTCTGATTTACAATGCAAGGAAAACAGCAGGAAAACTTCGAGATTCTAGGTGTCCCCTTAGAACAACACGGACCCATATGCAGAGCTGGTTTTATTTTCAGGTGAGCTCCCAGCGAGGCAGGCAGTTTCGATTCTCACCGCTGAGGTGCCCAAGTGCCGGTCGGAGAGTTCCACCAGGGATTGACGCCTGAGAAGCGAAGTGTGAAGAGAAGCATTTTTAGACTCACTTCCCGAGATCGGCAAAAGTACACCAACAATATTTGTCGCCACTACATTGGTATCCCAAAAAGTGGCCAAAGTCAAAGTACCCAAACTTCCTGGTCTAAAAATGTGAAATGTTTCTCAACAACAACCATGTATGGGTGGTTTTGACAAAAAAAACAAACGCCGTGTGACGCGGGCTGGCCACAGGGCTCTGAAAACATTTTCTTGGAGGGCTGGGGGGGGATCTTGATGTCTATGCCGACGCTGGAGGGTGTAATCCACATGCAAAGAACCTGACAAACACATCATCGGGTCCGCCTGTCGTTTGAGAGCTACATCTATGTTCAAGCGTAGGCGCGATCCGCAAAATCCCCTATCCGTTCTCCTTAGGACACCACACGAAGGGAAACCAGTACCCTTGGATTGAGGACATTCTGGATTCATTTTGAACAACCCAGGCTGTGCAACGCCGACTTGCCATCGAGTCCCGTATCGAGGCGTGTGCAACGAATCTACTTGTGAACCCTGCTAGGTCCTCCAGTAGAGAGGTTAGAATAAGGGTACGCTTCTTGTCTGCCCTCCCCAAAAAAAAGAGTAAAAGGGCACTACTGGGGGACCTAGCCTGAATGTTTAAACCGTTGAAGTGTGGTTCCCTTCAAGGGGGACTGCTTACCATTTTTGAGCGAGCCCGCGTGAACGGGAAAGGTTCCCTTAACGCCCTGCGGTCTCCAAGAAGGATCCTACAGGCAAGGCACAGTCCGAGATACGCCACATGTTCTTTCTCTTTGCCTTGAAATGAACATGTCCAGCGTCAAATTGTGTTTGCCCCAGGTTTTCAACCGCCATTCTTGGTGATTCCCCATAGTTGTTGAGCCAGGTGTCTGGTCTTGAGAAAGCCACCATCCAAACCAGTCAGCATCGAGAGAACAGGCGAGCAACGGCTACAGAAAGATTCTGATTGTTCTAGGGGTACCTTCCCCATTCTTTCCAGCGATCCTTCTTTCTAGAAAACCCCCAAAACCCAGGGAAAACAGCTGGTTTTTGAAAGAACGATTGTTGAAAAGAATGGGGAATCAACCCCTAGAATTGTGAATGATTTCCACCTCATCCTTTTGCTCGCCTTGAAAAGGGGTTTCCAGGCGTGGTTGTGCTTACCCCGCCGCCCGCAAGCAACCCGAGGCAAGCAAGCTGGCCCTGCCTCGCTCCAAGGGTGGCCTGTGTCGGCACGCGCACCAAGAGGTGCACCGCCAGGCGCAGGTGGGCAAAGGCGCCTGGCACGAGGCGATCTGTTTCTTTTTTTTCCGCGGGCAGATTTCTAGGGCTACCTTCTTTTCAGAATAGTATCGCTGGAAGGTGAACAAAACTCAAAACTTTCTAGCTACGGTGGATGGTTGCGAAATCTGCTTCTCGCACCACCTAAGACACCATGGAATGAGTTGATTCGCAAATACCTGCCAACAACGGTTTCAACCATGGATTGAAACTGGTGCAGGATTTCGCCCATCCATAGTTTCTTAGACAAGTGCTAACAGTTTTTAAACGTAGAGCTACAGGGGCAAAAGGAAAGGGAAGTGCCCAAGAGACTACAATCAACTGCTGGATGCATTCTCATGTTGTTGTTCATCAAATCTTCATGAGTCCCCTCCCCGAACTAATAAATGCACCCTATCAACAAGTATCGCTTTCCACGGATCGAACGGGTCCCCAATACTACTTTTAGACTGGGCCAAATCTATCCAAACCCGGCCTTGTTAGGGGGTTGTCCAGTGATCCCCTCGGCGTGGAATTGAGGGGTCTCAAGTCCCCCATTCCCAATCAACCAAATTAAAGGGAGGTGGGGGGCCTAACAAAAACTGCCACAAACAGGCTTAGTCTCCGTTTGGAGTTGCTTCAAAACCTGAGCAAAGTCTAGGAACTCAGGGAGTGAGCCAAAACGAACACCCATAAACGCCCATATGGGTATGGGTCAAAATTAAAGCACCAGGGCGCCTGCAGGTTTTAGCCCATGCTTCCTTTTGCCAGGGCAAGCCATTGTTGGAACCTATTTTTGACCCACACCCATATTAGCGGAAGCGATGCCTCTTGCTTGCTCCGGGCCTTCGCGTCGTCCCAGGGCGTTCTGGCTCAGCACGGCGGCCTCTTCACAGCACTCCGCGCACTTCAGCAGCAGCTGGTACTGCTCCTGTCGCCCACTGCCCAGACGCTTCAATTCGATGTTTTTCCATTTGCTTCTCCGTCCCCTGGGAAAAATGGAAAAATATGTCCAGTAGTGATAGATTCCCTTTAAAACCAACAGGGGACAATAAAAATTACCAAATGGAAGTTGTTGGGGCCCAAAAAAGATAGCCAGGTTTTGAGAAGCCCAAACACCGATTCCCGGGGTGTCTAATGGAGGGGTCGTGTCTTCCATTGAACCAGGAGCCTCTGGGTGGAGAAGTCCAATGCTACAAAACCTCCATTTGCCTTTTGTTCGTCCCCTGAACACAAACAACATGTTTCCAGTCGTGAAATTGATTCCCTTTGAAATCAACATTCCATTTGCTTCTTCAACTCCTGGAAACAAACAACTCCAGTAGTGAAATCGATTCCCTTTAAAATCAACAGGGGAAAATACACACAATCTTAACCAACCAAATGGAAGCATGTGGTAGAAGTCCAATGCTACAAAAGCTGGGCAGTTTTTGCTGACTTGTGGAAGCCGCATGGCCTTCAAATTTGCATTTGTGTTGAGACTGACTCTCTTTTTTTGGCGGGGTTAAAACAACATATGTTTGATACCATACCAAGGGTTGGAAAGGTTGAAAATATGAGTTGAACACTCCCAAACAGAATTTACTATCCTCAGTGAAATGTGCCCCGGAGGATGTACACCACAAATAACACGTTCACTTTAAAAGCGTCCGAGTTTGCAAGGGTTGGATGTTGCCCAAACGTTTGTCTTTCCCAACTCTCCGGCGATGGTTCTTGATTGTTACTTGAACGCGTCCCCTGCCTACCACTCACCCACCGTTGTGTGGGGGCCAGACTCGGATATGTCGCCTCCGACCGGGTGAACTACCTGTTGGTGTCCCTCCAACCCCAAAAAGGGCCCCCAAGAAGACATCGAATTCATTTCCCTGCGAGCGGATTGGCCCCAAAAATTGGTCCATGCAATTGATGTGCGACTAAAATTGGCAAAAAACAAAACGTGACTATAAAGTCCAGGAACTCAGGAAGTGAGCCTAACTGAGCCCGTCATCCAACTTTCACTTCCGGAGACAACAGAAACCGGGCTGCGACTTTGGGTGAGGAGCCCAACCAAAAATTCCGGTCTGTATCAAACTGGGGTCCCCTTGCTTCCTTTTTTTTTACACCCACCCCGAAAAAGATTAGCCAGACAAGTCACACATAGAAACCCATTGGCACAGAGGTTCATTGCAGGATGGGAGTGTGACAACTGCTACCCGTTGGTTTCCCATCCTTTTTTTTCTTCTCGGAACTCGGAACCGGGGCAATGCGAGCTTCCGACCATGTGAATCCCCTGACTGCAATCAGTTGCTTCCAGGTGATTGCCCCCAACATGCCGAGCTCCACTTGGCCAGAGGGCCATATCGAAAGTTGGACCTCGATTGATCAAACTGGAAAGAGCGCGGGGTGTTTTAACCTGGCGACCCGTCAAGGCCAAAGACATGCGCGTACCTGATGGTTCCCATTGCGTGCTGAGCCTCTGCTGTCAAGCAAGGGTAGATCCCGTTTGCTGCGATTTCTCTGGCTTTTGTTCTTAACCTTCCTCTCCCTTGTTGCTTGTGTGCTGTTGTCTTGTTGTCTTTGCTCTCTAAAACAAGTAACAACACACACAAAATCCACCACCACAAGCCCTCCTGCCCAAAATCACTTTCGGGATCCAAGTTCTCGAAGCCTGGAATTTCTTCTCCCCATACGAATGGGATGGTCCAAGTTGACCATTCTTTTTGCCAGTACCCTGGGGTTCAAACCCCCAGTGAACGAATTGGATTGACATGGGGCCAAGAAAATTCTTTTCATGGCAATAGGGAGCACCTTTGCATCTTCTCCGTGGATCCCGCGATTCGATCCCGCGATCCGCCTCGGTAAAGGGCCCTTCGGCGTTCTCCGCGCGGCGGGCGTAGAGCTCACCTCGGGGTGACGTTTGAGGGTGGAAACCGGCGAGGTTGTTCGGGGAAAAAGGGAGTTGTCAGGCGAAAAACGACGGATTTGTTTGGGAAACACGGGTTTTTGGGTGGACACCGGCGGGGAAAATCGAGTTTTAGGTGGAAAACGGCGGGGAAAAAGAGGTTTTCAGGTGGAACACTGCGGGGTTTTTGGGGGAAAACGGAGTTGCTTTGGTGGAAGCCGGCGAGTTCTCAAGGGACAATATTCGGAAGACAAGAAGGACAGTCCGTATTTTTGGGAGCTTTTAGGGGGGCAAAGCGAAAAGGAAGGTCAAACCGACTTTTGGGGCTTCCCTATCAAACAAGCCCAGGCAGCGTGGCCCTCTCATGAGCAACCCTTTCCACAAGAAGTTCCAAAGTAGGTTCGCCAGTGGAGAGGATAGACTCAGGGTATTTTCTGTAGTCTGTTTTAGCAGGGGAACCCTCCCAACCAAAAAAGTTGGTGGGAAAGTGTTAACTTGCTTAACGGGGGGTTTTCGCATGTTCGCTGGAATTAGTCTAAAATAAGTGTTTTTGTCGTCCGCTTCGAGCCATGTTCCATGTTGCTTGGGCTTGGGGGCATGGAAAAAACACTTATTGCTGTTTTGGCTCCGATGGAAATTCTGTCATCATGCCCATCATGCCAAACACAGGCAACATGCCCGCAGTAACATAGTCCCACAATGGTCCCACAAGGCATTAATTCCGGACTCTGTGCAGCCATTCGGATTGCGAGCGCAGCGGCGGCTGGCTGCTGTGCAGGACCGGTTATAGAGGGCATCCGGGCTGGGGCGGGGAAGGGCGGAGGCGGAGGCCGGCGGAGGCTCGGCGGAGGTGTGCTTTTTAACTACTCCTTTGGCAAAAAACACCTTTCACTTTTCACAGATGTGATGACACGCACAATAAACCGCCTTTGGAACCCCAGGGCGGCGTGGCTTTCTTGATTGACGGGGGCACAGGCTCTTGATTGACGGGAACATGCCGCGTCTATGGACGACATGAAACACTGCAAAGGCTCAAGCTAAGCAGCTAAGCAAGGCAAGGAACAGATAACACACATGCACCAGCATCATGCACCCGCATACTTGAGGTCAAGTTGGATGAGGCTAAATGGCTAAATGTCTAAATTACCTAAATGTGAAGAATGTGAATGTAGCAGCAAGTGACAGCAGCGGGTTTGTTTGGATCGACCATGGATCTTGCGTCCGCGACATCTGCCGCCATCAACCGGATCTTTTTTGAGCGGTTCGAGCAAATGCACGATGCGTTGGACGATTTGAGGACGCTCACCTTGTCAAGCCAACCTTTTGACTTTTGACCTGACCTTTGGGTTAATTTGGGTTTCGGGTTTTCGCGCTCTTGTATTTTGGCGGTAGTGCTGGCAGTAGACTCCAAGCAGACGCAGACAGTGGTTTTGTTCTGTGTAGCCACGGGCCAAGGTCCCAGTGTCAATTCTCAAAGGTGTTTCATTTCAGGATCAAGTTCAAGTTGGCTCACGGCTCATTTGGGCAAGTGAGGTTGCGCATCGCGTACGCGGAGTTCCAGCTGCGGATCGTGTCTGACCTGCTCGAGCGCGAGCGCGCGGGCCGGCAGAATGAGGAGAAAGGCCACGTGAAGGGCCAGGAGAAGGGGCAGGAGCAGGAGAAGGGCAATGAGAAGGGGCAGGAGAAGGGCAAGGAGAAGGGCAAGGCGAAGGGAAAGGCGAAGGCAAAGGCGAAGGGCAAGGGCCCGCACAATGCCCGCCCGGGCAAAGGACGGGCGGTGCGACGCTGATTCGCGCAGCTCGGATTAGTTTCATTGGTTTTACATAATTTCCAGTATTGAGTATTGAGTATTGAGTCTCAGGCCCGAATACTATCAATGAATGAACGTTTGATTTACCGAGTCTGAGTCTGTCTGAGTCAGAGTTTGAGTCTCGAGTCAGAGTCTGAGTCTCTTGAGTCTGAGTCTGAGTCTGAGGCTCAGGAGGTGCCTTTTCTTTTTTGGTTTACCATCACTTTGCCATCATCATCATTTTCAACAACTACAGTAACTACAGTCGCAGCGCGGCGGCTGCGGGTGTGTGTGTGTGTGTTTGTGTGTCAGCCGAGGACAGTGCGATGATCTGGAGCCGGGCCGGCCGGGCCTGCACAACTCGAACCCAATGCAGGTCCAAGGAAAAAAACCTCGGTCGTCGGGCGTCGACCGGTCTGTGGGCCCTGTTGTGGTGTTACTATGATTCTTTGTGAGTCGAGGTGTGTGGCCTGTTTAAAGCCTGATTGGCGTCCATTGCAAAACACTAGGGGTGACCGTTGCAGCGGAGAAGGTGGGCAACGGAAATTAGCCAACTTTGGTTTGTGACTTCTGGAATTGAAATGCCCAAATCCGTCCGTTGTTTCAGTCAGACTGTGACTCGACTTGGCTGGTTAAAGCACACTAAGAAAAAGACTAAGACTCAGTCTCAGACTCAGACTGTAAGACTTAGTTAGATTGTTTTCAATCTCCGTCGTCAGGCTCGACTCCAGCGTATGGCGTATGGCTTTGTTTTGAAGTTCTTTGGGTGGCTGGCTACCCTACCCTACCGGACCTTACTTACTTACCCATTCCGGCGGTACCGGCACCGGGTATCGGGTATTGGCAATTGGCAAATAACAGTTGACAGTGTTGACAGTTGACAGTGTTGACACTTGAGTTGGGTCGTGATTAGATTTTTGGGATTGAACTGAACATTGAACATTGAAAATTGAAAAGCAAGCATGGTAAGGTCAGGTCCAGGACGGAATCCGGAACCCATTTGTTTCCAATTCCTTTGGGCATCCGCGGGTTAGGAAAGGACACGCATGCCGCATGTCCGCCGACTGTCAGGGGTTTTTAGGTTTCGAAGATTCGCCCGTGTCGCGCCGGGACGAATCATCAATGGCGAGCGGCGGCGGCGGTTTGTTTTCCACTGCTGCTGAGCGGGAGTTCTACCGGCGGTTCTTCGACGGGTTCTCCGAGCCGATGCAGCATGGCGGTTAAGTCAGACATGACAAGCTACAAGCTTGCCGCTTGCCCATTGTACTTTTTACTTATCCTTATTTATTTACTTGCTTTGAGACTTTGGCGGTTTTGGTTTGGTACACGTCCCTGCCCCGGGGCACCGGTCCCGGTCATTCCCTGCTTTCCTTCGCTATCCCACCGACCCAGGTATGCGCGGCCGGGTCATCATGATCATGCTGCTGCTGCTGCTGCTGCTCATGCTTTTGCTGCAAGGGAGCGCGAGAGCGATGGATCGGCGCCGGCGGTGCCGGCGCTGCCGGCGTATCTTGGCAGGGCATCGGGCATGCCGTGTGTGGCTTATGCAGACGTAGGAGTGGGTTGAGCCGAGGCATGGGCATGGCAGGCGTCAGGGCATTCATCAAATTCAATTTTATACTTTACAATTTACAATTATCATAACCACAACATGATCATGCGGATCATCATGCCGCCATGATTGTGGTCATCCAATACTGCGTTACGACGACTGCGATAAACCAAATTGGTTAAGCAAGCAAGCAAGCAAGATGATCTAACTGAACTAAGATAGACTACTAAGCCCTAAGCAGCACTAAGCCTCAGCCCCAGTTTTGGGCGGAAGACAATTTTCGATTCAACATTCTAATCCAATCCAATACAATCACCAATCCTGAATCCTAATCCAACCCATGTTGACCCACCCAGGTATTCAGAAGATGGCGGCCATGCGGCTGCGGCAGACGGAGGCGGCAGTTCCAGAGTGGCTGCGATGGCTCGGCTGGCTCCGACTCCACCGTATCTTGGCGTAGTCTTAGTCAATTTTATGATATCTGAAAACATGTTTGCCCGTGGCCCGTGGACCGTGGAACCGTTGAATACAGCTCAGCACTCAGCATGGCACATGTCACATGCCACATGCCGCATGCCCACCTTTTTGCACCGTCCGTCACTGTCACCGTCACCGTCACCGCCAGTTTTCACACCACGATTTTACGATGACACTGACTTGACGTAGGTTGGCCGTCCCAGCCCTGCACGCTGCTCATGCTGGCAGTGACGACCCTGGCTATGGTGTCGCCGTTGGAGTGCCGATGGGGCCGGTGCGGCCGCCAGTAGCGCTTGGACGTGGTCGCCGGGAAAGGCAGAAGCCCCTGCCGAAGCCGAAGCCGTTGAAGTCTTCGCAGCTTGGCTGCGGCTGCCTGCCGGCTTGGGTTGCGTTTGCGTGAGGAAGACTTTAAACTTTGTGGGAAGTGCAGCGGGAAGACGAGACTCTGAGACTCCCTGACTCCTTGAATTGCAGATGCGGTGTTTGCCAGTCAGTTGTCAGAGGGTAGGAGGAAAAGCCAAATGTGACAAACAGGGATGTGATGGGCAGCCTGATGATGGGCATGGGTTTGTTTGCAACATAGTAGCCGTTGCTTTGTGGCCTCGCCAAAGCCGCATCAGGTATTTGAAGACCAGCTACAAGGAGCTGGCCATCAGTTTCTGCCGGAGCAACGTCTATGGCGGGACCCATGAGCGTAGGCTTAGGAATCGCAAGGTGATTACCATTTTGAAGACTTCCCGGAGCCTCAGTGATGGGCACTAGGCAGCCTAGGCACTAGGCAGCCTAGGCACTAGGATTCGGTGGCCATCCCAACAAACAGACTCGGACTAAGACTAGACCAGTTCAACATGTCAACATGTTCAATGGCCCCGATCGTTTAGATCCGAAGGTTTTGGGGAAGTCGGCAAGTCGGAAGGGGTGCGATGTGGGCCGTTGCGGGCCAGCTGCGAATCTGGATTGCGGCGTTGCGGCGGTGGCACCATGGAATCTTGACAAAGTGATTAAAACAAGCGACTGGTGTGTTGGACCGGTGTTGCCGGAGTTGCAGCAGGCATTGTTTCGGAACTTCGACTATCAGTTCTGCGACATGCCAAACCGTTTTGATACTTGTGGATTGTTGGGTTCGAGTTTGCGCCACAGTTTCGAGGAACCCTTAAATCTCTTTAACACTTTTGCGGATTTGCGGAACCCTCCACTCTGAGGACTCTGAGGCTCTGACTACTCTGAGTCTCTCTGAGGTCTGAGTCTGAGTCTGAGGAACCCTTTTCTTCTCGACAAGGTCCGCGGCAAAGCTGTCCAGGCCCAGGCAGCCCACCCCATTTCCGTCTCATTAGCGTCAGCGTGACAAAATCCACTTCGCTTCAGGGCCAGACTTGACTCGTCTTATCCTTTTGCCGTTTTAGCTTTTCAATTCCAACTTTCAACCAGCATCAAACCGGCATTGGCTGCAGCAGGGGGCGGGGCTTAAGTCTGGCCTAGATTGAATTGTGCGACTCTGCTATGGCTGGCATCAACTTAGTTGGACTCTCGGATGGGGCGGGGTCCGGCCGCAATGGAAAATGATCACCGGCGGCGGCGGGGCTGGGGTTTGGCTTAGTCTTAGTGTCTTAGTCCACATTATACTGCTTGAATTGAAGTGGTTCGTTGTCGGATTCCCGGTCTGTTGACATTACACTTCCCTTCTTCTCTTCTACACTACACACTCACATCACTCACTCACACTCACTCGTTCGCTCACCCACTCACGCGCCAACCCACTCACTCACTCACCCGCTCCCACTGCCACTGATTCCCACTCCACCGACTCCACCGACTCCACTCAAATGTTGTTTGGGCGATTGCGACCCCCAAAAAATACTGTTCTTGAAGTTCTTGACTTGACGGTCTTGACTTCTTGACAACATGACAATTGTTGATTCTTGACACTTGACACCTGGAAGAGTGGCAACCCGGGACCCGGTTGTATCGCTTGAGTGTGACCGCATGACATAGCCTCTATTGTCAATACACATATACTCGAGACTCATATGCCCCTGCCCTAACTCCATGCCTATCACCCCAAGCCGGACGAGCCGTATGGCAGGATGTCGCTGGCAGCGGCGGACGTGGTGCTGGTAGTCAACTCGGACGAGGAGGATGGTGACCGCCTGGCCGGCGAAGCGGCGGGATGCCAGCTGC